AAGGTCACCCACATGGAGCTCTGCTGAGCTGCATCTGTCCCCGGCTGCCAGCAGGGAGGGGAGAACAGGGCCAGCTGCAGAGGGAAGGGGAAGCTGCTGCGCTTGCCAGTCTGATGGGGGGGGGTCATTTCCTACCCCTCCCCACACCCCCAGATGCTGCTGCTCAAGCAACCCCAAATAAAAACTGCCCCATAACTCAGGGAATGCAGCCTCCCTGCGTCCTAACTACTGCTTTTAAGAACAGCCACACCCTTCCCAGCAGCCAAGCAGACTTCCCCAGGGGCCAGGTCTGAGGCTGGAGCAGGAGCCAGAGCCAAGGACCCTCGAGGCCTCAGCTGCTTCCTGAGGAGCAGTCACAGCTGGAAACCAGCGGGGATGAGGCTGTGGGTCACGCAGCATCTGTCTACAAGAGGAACACGCAGTCCATCTGGAGGCTAAGGGACAAATGGCAGCCCTCAGAGACCGTGCCATCTTAGACCAGCAGGCTACACTGGCTTCACGTGCCTCTCCCAGTGCCTAAAAATCCACCCTCCTCGAGGAGGTCTCAGGCCACCACCGCCAGCCAGGCAGAAGGCTCAGGTCTCCAACCTAAGTCCTCCGCAGCCACAGGCCCCCCTGAGGCCCTCATAAAATCAATGACACAGGTCTGACCAGGGCTGATCGAGCCACTTAGAGGGCCACAGCTGCAGCCTGTCCATGGTCACATTTTAACCCAAATCGAGGCCACAAACATGGCCTTTCCAAGGAGCCAGACCATAACCCTCTATCCAACAGGCCCAGGAAGGGGGTTCTTTTAAGGAAGGGACCATTTTTTCTACACACAAGTACCCACTTGAGGTACTATGGATGGCATGGAGGTAAAAACCAGAAAGGACACATCTAAAGAAGCTAAAGAGGGAATTTCCTAGAAGTCCAGTGGTTAGGACTTGGTGCTTTTCACTGCAGGGGCCTGGGTTTGATCCCTCGTTGGAGAACTAAGATCCTGCAAGCAGCTCGGAGTGGTCAAAGAAAGATGCATCTCTTGGGGTTTTCAGACCCACGGTGATCCATGAATGGTTTTACTGAAGGGAAAGGGTTATAGTTAGTTTCCTTGTGTATTACAACAAATGTTGTTTTGACAATATTCTTTTCAATCGATTGAAGCCTCCAGTGAAACCCCTCACCTCAAACAGAATCCCACTGACAATATAGCTTTGGGGACAAATAGCTTCGGGGACTGTTGAGGTGTCTAGCACCCTTGCCCTCATCATCATTACCATCACATAAGGAGGGCCCTGGGAGTAACCCAACACAAATATCTTGAAAGCTTGCTATGTCTCTAGGACAATAATAAGACTTTTAGAGACACCACTGTATTTAACTTGTACAATTTTATGACTGTTATCACATGTGACCTTTTCAGAACTGAAGAAACAGGTTAAGTAACTTGCCTGCTAATAAGTGATAGAACTGGGAAATCCCAGTTTTCACGTTCTTAACAGTATGCTGCTGCCCTGCCAGGAGAGACGGCTGCAGAGATCTAAAGTTGATCTGAGCGTGGCTCTAGAACTGCAAAGGGCTCCCAAGACTAGCCCAATTCTCAAAACTCCAGCAGCAAAGAGAATGGTTGAGGGCTGTGAAGGGCCAGGTCATTTCATCAGTAGCTCTCATACTTCTGTGAGTACCCTGCCACCACAGTCCTGAGGCTTTCCCAGGTGCTAAATCCTGTATTATTTCCTCCTGTCACATGAGAGGCTCCTCTAAGACAGGGGACATCTCCCAGATCATAGCTACCAGGCTACCAAAACCTCCCTCCACCATCACTGCCATTCACTGACCACCAAACATGTCCAGGAACTAGGTGCTCATTTCACCTCTTACATCAACCCTGTCAAGGTATGAATTAGCCCATTTTACAGATGAAAATACTGAGGCACCAAGAGTTTACTTGACTGGCCACAAAGTGGCAAGTTTGGGAAGGGAATCTGCAACTCCACAGGCCCCTCCTCTTAAGCTTGAGACTGCTTTTCCCCAGTCAAGTGCTGTCTGGGCAACACAGGGCCATCTGCTCTCCTTAAGAGCACCACAGCTGGTTCCTGGAGTTCTTTGCCACCATTATCCAGAGCTGAGGAGGGCACACCCCAGTCCTCTCCCCACTGGAAAATGTGCAGACTCACTGTCTTAGCAGTTCATGCCAAGGTGCTCCAGGAAAGGCCATGAAGAGTGGCCATCAGAGCCAGAGGTGGAAGGTGCAAACTAGAGCGGGGGCAACAGCCCCCACCCTCTGTCAATGGGCATGCTCCTTGGTCCCAAAGACTGAAAGACTGGGCTGATTTCACAGGCGTTTCTGCTGCCCATAAGTCCCCCTCCTCCTGCCCCCTCCAAGTTCTATAAATAACCCAGGTCAATGCATCACAGGAAAGGCAGCCAGGTGGGTGTGGAAAGATCCTGTGGAAAAGATGACTTCTCTAAAGTAAATTAAAGCTCCCACTGAGATCAAGGGGCAGTGCGGCCAGTTCTCCAGGAGGGACTGTCCTTGGCTGCAAACAGGTGCACGTGGGCCGAAAGACATGGACGGCTCAGTTAAGGAAGACCCAGAGGCCAAGAAGAAAGCAAGAGCAGGAACTGAAAAAAGTCAAAGCCCCTCCCCAACCCCCTCCCCCCAAGTCACTGACCTCACAGAAGCCCCTCCCCACAAGCCCGGAGACTTTGTGTCTGCGCTCAGCCTCCCCTCTAGTACTCACCCCCACAAGCCCCCACCAGCCCGGGATGTGTTATCTACCAGTCTGGTCAGATTAGCTGAGAGGTGGAGATCGAAGGACCAGGAAAGAAGGAGTGGAATGAATTTGGGGGCAGGAGCCTCTCCAGGAAAAGAAAGGGCTAAGAGAGCCAGAGATGAGCTTTCTGCCCCACCCCACCCCCTTGGGCTCCCCGAGCCAGGCAGGGGGGAGAGGACAAAAAAGGGGAGGAAAAAACAAAACGAGGGCCAAACTACACCACATGATCCCACAGCCAGCAACCAAACAGCAAGTCAGGAGGAGAGGCGAGGGGGCCAGGGGGGGAGAGACAGAGCTAGGTCACAGCCCTCCCCAAACCTGCCCTGTGCTAACCGGCTTCCCACCAAAGCCACAACAAGCCGTGAAGGCCTTCTGTGCCCACGTTTTTAAAGCGTTCAAGGTCAGATCTTTTCTATCCAAATCATGCTTTCATCTGGGTCTGTACCGGGCTCGTCCTTCCCCAGCAAGCCTTCCTAGATTGCCTCAGTTGGATGCCATTTCACTTGGGCAAACCTTTCCAGCACCTGTCCCAACCCCTTACCCTCCTTAACCAGGAGTCATGGGGCCCCTGACCCCCAACCCCTGACCCTCCCCATCCAGGGGCCATGAGACCTATGGCTGGCCATCACCCCAGTTAACCATCTGAGAGACCCACGGCTGGTTGTCAGCCCTGGAGACAGGCTTCCAGATCCTGCCCAAGCCCAAAACAGGAAATGAGGCTCCAAGTCAGAAGCCTTGATCTTAACACAGGGAAAGTTAAAAGCTGCCAAAATAAATGATTAAAGAAAAAAATAATAACTCATTGGCCTTTCTAGGTATAAGTGACTGGGAGACCATCTCCTGCTGTGCCTTAAGCACATGCTGCCTCCACCTCAGGCAGGACACCTGAAACCTAACTAACGCCTTTCCTTAGAGGTCCTCCTGTTCTCCGATCAGGGACAGTGAAGAGTAGACTTGGGGGCGTCTCTAAGCAGCAGAGGGCATCCGAGTGCCAGGAAGCAGCAGATGCCCTCTGCAGTCTCTAGATCTGGTGTGGTGCCTCCGTTCAATCGCTGCCCTCCTCGAGGCCAACCCTGAACCTTCCTCCTCTCACAGGGCGAGGCAGTGCCTCTCCAGTTCCCTGCGGGCCTGGCGTGGAACAGGCGTCCGCAGGCAGTTACCCTCCCCTTCGAAGAAAGTGGGGCAGGCCCAGTGGCCCTAGGAATGGCCCCCAGATTTTCCTTCTTGAGGTTCCCACATCCCAAGAGTCTCTGGATCCTACTCCTAACTTTACTTGACAATCTACTCCTAACAGTAGACCACCATTCTCAACCCCCCAGGCCTCCCAAGGATCTGCCAGCAGCCAAACACAGCCCAGAGCACACTTGGTTGGGGGCCGAAAGGAGACCCTATATGTGAAGAACCAACTTGTCGGTTTACGCCCTTGAGCGCCAGGCAAAACAGCGCACCGCCCCGGCCAAGGTGTGGGGTCCTGCGTCCCCCAGCCCCGCCCCGCGAGGCCTTTAACCGTTTCCGCTCCCCCGCACCCCGCACTCACTGAGTGTGCTGGGCGCGGCCTGCGCCGAAGACCTCATCCAGCGCCACCGTGGCCTGGCCCAGGAATTTGTCGACGCCGATGAGCGAACGGTGCATAGTGGTGAGCACCAGCTGGCAGGCGGCGGCTGAGCCCGCGGCCCAGGGCGCCGGGCCCGCATCGGCCTCCTGCGCCCGTAGCAGGCCGTCCAGGGCTCCGGGCGGCAGCTCGAAGGAGCACTCCTCGCGCCACTCGGGACATCCCGGCGTCTTCTCCACCACCGACGTGCTGTACTTCTCGCGGCCCACCTGGATCACCGTGTACGCGTCGCTGGTGCTGCCCGCGCCCGAGCTCTTGCCCCGCAGCCCGCGGGCCCGCAGCACCGTCACCTGGACGTGCGTGGGTAGCCAGCGGGAGGGCCCCGCCGCCGGCTCGGTACCCCGCACCAGGGCCATGGCGGGGGAAGCGGCGGCGGGCGAGGGAGGCCTGGCCGAACCAGGACCGCAGACACTTAGACCAAGTAAGAAACTGGACAGCGGCGGAGGGTGGTCAGGAGCCGGCTCGGAGCGCCGCCGCAGCCGCGGGTTGGGCCGGGCCGGGCCGGGCTGTGCTAGGCTTGGCGGCGAGAGCCGCGGCCCGGCCTGGATCCCGGGCCGCCGCGGAGTTGGCTGCGAAGGGCGGGGCGGCCGGGACTTAAAGGGGCCGCAGCAGAGCCAGGGGACGGTGGCCGCCACGCCCTCGCCGCGGCCGCCGCAGACTAACCGGGAGCTAGAGGTCAGCCGGGTGCCGCGCGGGCCGTGGGCGGGGCGCGCGGCCTCCGCAGAGGAGGGGGCGGGGCTCCCGCGTCTGTACCGCCCCCAACTGGGGGCGCCCGGGGAACACTGCCTCGCCGGGGGGCCGCGCCGCACTCGCGGCCGGGTCTGAAATGCCCGCTCCGCGCCTCCCGGCCAATCCCAAGTCTTCCTTCAAGACGTCCCTGCTCCAGAAAGCCCTCGTCCTAAAACTGCCCCGCCCCGCCCCTCCCCTGGATGGCCATCCCCTTGGCGCCCGCAAGTGGGAGCGATGCGGACCCCGGCTGCCCCCTTGGTCTCTCCTCCAGCCTGCCCCTGCCGGGGAAGTTCCCCGCGTGAAACCAGAGGCGATTCACGCTGCGCCGCGTGATGGTCCTGGATCAGCGACCCGAAAGCGGGTGAGCTGCCGCTGTCTCCCACTTCTACGAGCGGGAGGGACCAAGTATGCAGCCAGAACCCGGCGAGGGAGTCCAAGGAGCTCGCCCTCAGCGAACAACTGCGGCGGAGAGCAGAGATGAATAAATGACTAACCACATCAATATTTAAGTGTTCACTCGGACCGCTGGGGCTCATGCGTCCCGAGTTGGGGAAAATTATAGGCTCTGGTGGAGGTTTTAAACAATTACTTATATCCATTAAGTGCCTACTCTGTGCAAAGCCCTTGGTATTACTTGCATGCTTGGTTTATTATTGATAATGACAACAGTGGTTAATAATTGCAGATGCTGAATTTCGGCCAATGCTCGCCCATATGTTTTACATGCGTTACCTCATTTTGTCCCCAAAGCAGCCCTGTGGGGTGAGTTTGGTTTTTATCCTTATCTTTGGGAAGATAGAATTGCAGCTTAGAGGGGTTAACCTGCCATGATTCGTAACTGGAAGAAGTGGGATGTGAATCCACACAGATGACCCCAAAGTCATTTTTGTTGTTTTAGTTTCAGAGCCTGTGTTAAAAATCGTATTTTTAAAAATATATATGAAACACAGAGCTTAAAAAAAATCAAATAGGACAAAAAGGCTTATGATGAAAAGCAAAAAATTTCCTTCCCACCCCTCATTCCAGGGTTAATTTTGGGCCTGGTGGTTACCTCCCCATCTACATGCTTACATGGTTATATCTAGATTTATCAGGACGGTCACTATCTATTGTCTTCCTGCTATGATAGATAATGATTTAGCTTCTGCCCACTTTTCTCTCTCAATCTTATGTGTTATAGTTATGCTTTTGCTGTTGTTGTTGTTCCTCTATTGGATACTGTGATAGTGAAGTGAAGTGAAAGTCACTCAGTTGTGTCTGACTCTTTGCGACCTCATGGACTGTAGCCCACTAGGCTCCTCTGTCCATGGGATTTTCCAAGCAAGAATACTGGGGTGGGTTGCCATTTCCTTCTCCAAGGGATCTTCCCAGGCGATCAGCGATTGAACCCAGGTCTCCTGCATTGCAGACTTTGATAGCGGAAACCTTTATTTCTTCTTGGGGAGACTCCACAGTACTTCTGATGTTTTATCCTGTGAAAGAAGGATGCCAGAATCCCCACTTTTCCAGGCCATGTCCTCTACCAGGAATATGGTTGTATACCAGCTACATGAAAACCATGGGAGCATATTATTCACCAAAGCTCAATCCTTCCACCTCAACTATGATCAAAATGGGGTGAAGGAGTACACTCTGAGCCCCATAGCCCAGTATCCCTATGGATGCTTTGGAGACAGTCACATCTGCCTATGGATTGTGACTCTCTGCCACTTAACAACAGTAAGACCTGAAGGTTAAGCCAGCTCTCTAACCTCTCTAGCCTTGTTTCCTGATCTACAAAATGAGGATAATGATTCCTACTTTAAGCAGTTGCTGAGAAGATTACATGATAGAGACCATCACAAATGATCTCAAAGCATCTGAACATTATATACAGCTTCTTTCTGATTATAAAATTTATTAGGAAAATATAAAGAAGGAAATAAAAAATAGGATCTCACTGTTCAGAAATAGGCACTGTTAACAATTTGTTGAACTTCTTTCCAGTCTTGACAGTATATGTTGTTGTTTTATGTGCATTACGGTTGTGAGGGAATTATAGTGCAATGGTTAAACCTGGGCACTCTGGAGTCCTTGTTCTACCATTTACTTTATGTGTACTTTTTCATTTACCCTTGAAGACAACCCTTTAAGGCAGATGCTGTTACTACCTTTGGGCTTCCTGGGCGGCTCAGCAGCAAAGACTCCAACTGCAATTCAGGAGATGTGGGTTCAATCGCTGTGTTGGAAGAATCCCCTGGAGAAGGTCATGGTGACCTACTCCAGTATTCTTGCCTGGGAAATCCCACGGACAGAGGAGAATGGCGGGCTACAACCCATGGGGTTGCAAAGAGTCGGCTACGACTTGGCGACTAAACAGCAACAACAGATTGCTACTACATCTTCATGGATGAAGAAGCTAAAGCAGCAAAAGCTTGGATGATTTTCCCCAAGTTTGTAACCAGAAAATTGCAGACTGTACCTGAGCCCAAGTCCAAGTGACTCTACTGCCTGTGGTACTCTGCCCTCACACTGGCTTAGTTTGTTGGTCGTCTAAGCCACTACATCATTTGAAGTCAATAAAGCAGGAACTGTTGACATACCCATTTTACAGATGAAGAAATTGAGGTATAAAAAAGGTTGAACAGGCTTACCCAAGGTTACAGAGTCAGGATGAAGCCCCACTTTAAGAATGAACTCCCCAGGGGCTTTGCAAATGAAGGTATCTTTGCCAAACCATGACTAACATATGCTTGTCTTGTCTTGTCCTTTGATGGTTCCCTTTCTTGTGTTTTCTTAGCTCTCCTACAGGACAGGACCGGCTCCGCCCACCCACTTGCCTCCCCCTCCCCCATGGAGTAGTAAGGCTCCAGGAAAGGGCAAAAGAGAACAAAGATGGGCTACTCCCTCCTTCCTCCTGCCCTGGCCCTCGTAATTTGGCAAGCTCAGGCTTCCTGCTGGCCCGGGATTGCAGCTGCAAGAGGGCAGTGAAGTCAGGAAGGTCTCCACTGCAGGCCACTTGGCCCTAAGAGAAAGGGTGGGCTCTACTAGCTGTTTGCAGTTAAGAAAAGAGCAGAAACTCTGAAAACATTGATGTCTAGGCCACCAAGAGGTGTTTTCTGCTCTAGGAGATGAGACCACCCACCCCACCCACTGCAGTCCGATGTGAGGGTTAAAGAGAGAACCCTCTTGCTTCCTCTTCTCCCCCATGGCTGGGAGTGGTCTCGACCTTCCTGGGCCTCTCTAGTCCATTCGGGACAGTTCTGGCTTTGAAAGAGTGGTTCTTTTATGTAATTTCCACTCATTGCTTCCCTGTACAATATCATAACCCTTCCACACAGGCACTATAAAATGCATTTGCCCGGCTCTGCAAGCTATATTTCCCCCTGTCCTTCACCTCTCCCTCCCACATCTATTTTAAAGGGCCTTTACTATAACAGAGTCACACAGCCTGGGTTTAAATCCTGGTGCCACCGCTTACTAGCAGTATAAGCTTGGGCAAAATACTGAACCCCAGAATCTCAGTCTCCACATTATCAAATGGGCCTAATAATATATCTAATAATTCATAAGATTAGTATGAGAGCTATCTCAACATACCCTAAGCAATGATGAATAACATCTTAGAAATCTTTGCTGAAAGCAAAAGGTAGTACCTCCTTGTTCCCCTTGCAGTTAGTTCTTTGATTGCCAGTGAGATTGAACATTTTTTCAGTTATTAGTCATCTGTATTTCCCCTTTTAATAAGTTTATTTTTGAATTGTCTCTTTTCTATGCCTATTTTTCTTTGAAGCCTTAACTTACTAATTTATATTAACCCTGTCTATGTTAGGAATAATAATACTTTGACTTTTTTTATTGCAAATATCTTTTTACATACATTATGGAGTCAAATCCTTTAATTTCTTCTAATATTTCAAGCTTAAGTTCTTCCACACTCATAGGTCCAATAATGTCCGTTCATATTTTTTCTAGTTTTTAAATTGTTTGGCTTTTTCTTTGTTCTTTCATTCTCTTTAATTTCTTCTAGAAACTATTTTGATGAATGACTTGAGGTGAAAATCTAACTCTGTCTCCCCCAGCAGCTATCCAAGTTCCCCAATACTTACTAAAAAAACCCTGTCACTTTGCCATTGGTTTTTTTGTTCTTATATATACAGAGTCTGAACATTTTACTCTAATCCACTGAGATTTATATCTTTCTGTCAGTGCTATTCCATTTTAATTATTGTTGCCTTTTAAATGCTTTACTATAGCAGAAGGGAAAATCTTCACTCGTTTCTCTTTTTATAGCTGCTCTTACCTTTGTGTTCATCCACATGAGCTGTAATTCTTTTTGGAATTATAACAGAAACTGTCATGAGAAAAATTGACATCTTTTCAAACAATAGCCATACGCTTGACTTCTATTTAACATTGTGCTGGAGGTTCTAGCTAGGGCAATTAGGCAAGAAAACAAAACTATATAGATTGGAAAGGAAGAGTAAAACTATTTACAGATTAGATGACCTTGTAAACAGAAAAGCATAAGAAACAATTAGAACTAATAAATGGGTACAGGATACAAGATCAATATATTTAAATCAACTATTTCTACACACTAGCAATGAAATTTTTTAAATAATTCCATTTATGAGTATCAGAATAAATGCTTAGAAACGAATCGGACATAACAAAAGAAGTGTAAGATTTATACATTGTAAACTACAAAACATCACTGAAAGAAATTAACGAAGACCTAATTAAAAGACATCTCAAGTTCATAAATTGGAAGACTTAATATTATTAAGATGCCAATACACCCCAAATTGGTCTGCAGATTTAACACATTCCCCATCAATATCCCAGCTGCTGTTTTTTGCAGAAATTGACAAGCTGATCCAGGAAATCATATGGAAATGTGAAGGACCCAGAATAGCTAAACAAATCTTGGAAACAAAAAACAAAGTTGGAGGACTAACATGTCCCGATTTCAAAACTTAACTACAAATCAAGACAATAAGATACTGGCATAAGGATAGACATAAATCAGTGGAATAGAGTTGAGATTCCAAAAATACACTCTTACATTCATGGCCGACTGATTCTTCAGTAAAGATTCCAAGACCATTTCATGGAGAAAGAATAGTCTTTTCAACAAATGGTGTTAGGACAGCTGGATATTTGCATGCAAAAGAATTAAGTTGGACCCCTTCCCTACACCATACACAAAAGTTAACTCCAAATATATCACAGACCTAAATGTAAGCACTAAACCTATAAAACTTTTAGAAGAAAATGGAGAAGTAAATATTCATGACCTTGGGTTAGGCAAAGCCTTCTTAGATACAACACCAAAAGCACAAACAACCAAAGAAAAAAATAAACTACACTTCATCAAAATTAAAAACTCTTGTCCTTTGAAGAACATCATCATCAAGAAAGTAAAAGGACAACCTGTGGGTTGAGAGAAGATATTTTTAAATCATAATATATGATAAGGTACTAGTATCCAGAGTATTTTGGAGAAGGAAATGGCGACCT